TATGTAGGAGCTTTCCTCGTGACATGGTTCTTGCCCCTCTCAAATTCCAGGGTCTGGGCATCCCCCATCCGTTTGGTACTCAGGTGTCTAAACATATTGAGGTCCTGCTTCGCCACTTGTCCAACCGGACAAAAACTGGGGCGTATATGGAGGCTGCGGTTCAAGAACACCAACTTGAGACCGGCACCTCCTTTGGACTCTTCCAGCAGGACTATAGCAACACGGCAACCTTGGCGTCAGATACGTGGCTCAAAAGAGTCTGGAAAGAGTTGGAGGACTTGGATATCTACGTTGCCCTTGACTCTCCTGTCCTCCCTCTCCGGTGCGAAGGCGATGCCTTGCTCATTGAGGTATTCATGGAGTTGGAAGTGGATCAGGACGCTCTCAAGTGGCTCAACTGGTGCCGTATGTTCCTCCAAGTTTGCACTGTCTCCGACATCGTGACGGCCGATGGCCGCAGCATCCGAGAGTCCATGTGGCATGGGAAACGTGACAACGCTCATCGGTCGTCATATCAATGGCCTCGCACTGTCCGGCCCAACAGGACCCACTGGAAGGCGTGGCAGGAACACCTTACTCGAGCACTACTTGTCTCTGACGGATCCCAGCGCCTACTGCGTCATCCTCTGGGCCCATGGATCGATCCTCTTGACAACTGGAACTGGTTATGGTCTTCTACCCACGGATTGTTCCACCGCCAGGGCCACGGGTGGCAACACTACCGTCACCGTCGCTCCTCCACACGGAGCATTCAATGGGACTATCCTTGTTCTACCCAATTGTCCGGGTGCAAACGACCACATAACAAGCACACCGCCAACGGTGTCAGCTTCTTGCCAGCCCCCTTTTGGACCCAACCACTCCCAGCTGACATGTGCCGAGCTACCGTCCACATTACGCCTTCGCTAGGCACTCTAGCCCTCACCGGCATTGGGACAGCACCGCTGCAGCCGCATCACGACTCTCAACCGTCCTTGCTGGCCGCCTGGATGGCCGCCTCAGCCAGGGTGACCGAGTATGTTGGCTGGACCCCTGAAGAAATTGAGATCGATG